TATTAATCAAGGCATTCGACGCTGGAGCCCGGCCAATCCCAACTATCTGAGATGCCAATCCAATTTATCTGCGCAGCATTAGAATGTCAACTGGGAGAGACAGACCGGCCATTACGGCACTCTTCAAAGAAGTGAGAAAATAGACAAGGCAGGCTTTTCAATAGCCGTTAAAGTACAGAAATGTTGCTCGGTATCGCGTTACAGCCGGTTTCGGTTGATTGGCTCAACATGTGTTTTACTTTCGCTCGTGCGCAATACTATGCTTAGATGGCTTGAATTTCAGCTTGGATCACCTCTTGAAAAACTGTCTTTGATACGAGAGGCTTGTCGTTCATTTACATTTTTCGGAAGTGAAACGCGCCTCCTCGCTCAGCGTATGGTATATTCTTGGGCGACCTTGGAATTGTGATTAGCACCGTGAAATGTGTCAGATCGATAGGTATGATAGAAATACGACTTCGCTGAGAAGAATAGGCAACATTTCGAGACACGAGTATGGCCGTGCGCGCGTATAGAGAAAAGAGGAATAATTATTTTGGCACCGTCTCAAGGTTAATTTTAACGTCACTGCATTCGAATATTAAAATATTATTGGAGAATCAGGTTGAAAAAAAAACGTATGATTTTATACAAATGAAGAAGATGTTACCCAAACATCGTCACAGATGATAATAATCGCGATAGTATCATGTTACCATATGTTAATAATAAGTTAACGATACGAATGATAATGTGAGAGAGACAAGTATTGTCAAAGTATAAAATATCTTCAATACAATATATCAAATTCTTTCTTTATCATCGAGATTGAAAATTGAATGTCGTACGATCGTAGCGTCCGGCAAGGAAATTTTAATTGGGAACATCAACCCGGTTTCAGGTAGCCACCAATCATCTGCATTGTTTATATACCTTGCTTTAATCAGAACGTAATTATATCGCTGGCAGGCATCTTGCTAGAGTCACTTATTAATTCCTTGGTAGCTGTCCCGAACAGTCTGATGTAGCAAAATGAATGTCGTATCTGAGCAATTTCGACATCATCTCTACATCCTGCTACTTACCGGCTTTCAACGCTATTTTGTATTTTCTACCAGAGCAAACGTGAACTGATTGCTTGACTGATAGATCAGAAATATCCCACATCCCGTGGCTTTAGAAGAGATATTCCGTTCCCCCGCTGCGTTCTTCGTACAACGGCTGGTTTGCAATTAGCCTCACCATGCGGCTGCAATCGTGGCAGCACACATCACATACACACACACACACACACACACACATACGTACACTATTTTACACAAACGTGTATACATAGCTATTGTGCGAAATATAATAAGATAATAAACCAACGATCGTTTTCATTCTCCCGCGACTCTCCTCGCCTTCAATCCGTTTATTGCACGAATGTTGGAAGGATGAGTGACGTAAACGAGCAGACAAATCATTTTTTGCTCGCACATGACCCTGGTGACGAGCAGCGTTGACGGACATTTCGCGACTCGCCCTGGCCGTTGATTGAAACCAGGAGGCATGTACCTCGTTATCGGCAAAGTTCCAACTTGCATTGGACGCGAAATTAGTTTTGAGAAGCGAATTTTCTTTTGCAAGACACAATGGTTTCACATGCAGCAATTTGTTTATCCAGTATTTGAGCGACATCTAATCAAACCACAAGTTTATTAGATGACGACATAACGAAAGGATGCTGAAAGAAAGGAATGTAGAAAACAATTGATGTCATGTCCTAGCAAGAAAATAACTTTTGGGAATTATTCCTGTACATATATAAACTGGACAGCAGAGTTGTGGAAGAATACAGTGAAATTAATAGAGAATGGTCCCTGTGAGATTGGTTTCCGTATGCTAAGATATCTCATGGTGTTTACATTCTTCCGCGTGATAAAGATCCTCGTTTTTATGATGAATTGAAGATACGCGTCGGTGATTTGAAGAACTTTGCAAACTCATTATTCTACTTGGCACCTACTAAATTATCCGTGCTACTCTTCTTTTTTCATTTCCTTCGGGTTATCAGAATTCAAACTAAATGGAACATCGAAATTACACGTTTGATCATCTGACATTTAATGTTCTCATCTACATCTTTTCTCATTGCTTTTGTCGATAGTATATACATTACTGTTTTGTTTCAAAGCTTCTCACAGTATCTTCCAATTTTATTGATTTTTCTAATATTGTAAGCCATTATGCGTACTCAGGTTTATGCGAGTATCCATTATCATGTTACGAGACAAAGCCACGAAGAACAAATGTGCACGCCTACATTCTAGTAGGATTAATCAACGAATATAAACGATGAGAAATAGCCTATCATTTGTATAATCCGGAAAGAATGTTTTGTGGTTGCATTTTGAGAAGGTGAGTCACTCAGTAATCGGACCGTAAAAGAGTTAAAACTCTTAAAGATGTCTCATATCGCATTTTTTTGCTTTCAAGAGACAGATGACTTCTATTTGGAGTATCTAACATAATCAATTTTTACATGTTTGTGCCATTTATATGATAAGCTAACGCAGAGAAATTAGATTTATGGAGTAGGTTTATATTTATATAGCAGAGAATATAATACAAAATTTTACGTAAAATGTATTTCATCATTCTTTAATCCTAGTAAGTCATTGTTATTTTTGGTTACCTTCCCGGTCACATCAGGGTTTGTGAAACCCTATAACTTTGTCACGCTATATCTCTGGACTGAATAGGTATTTTTTAGCTCAAAATCTGTGAAATTTATACCTCGAAGTCAGACAAAGACAGATAAATATAAATCAAATAAATAATATTTTATTTTCAATTGATTACAATGCTTCAAAGAAATGTTTTATTGGAAAAATTCGCAAGAAATGACCACTTTGGAAAAAAATTCTAAAATGTTTAAATTTAATCCGGATCTTCAAATTATATTATAAAAAAGTTAAAGCAATGTTAAAATCGCATAGGATACGTTGAACCCATGAATGACATACTAGGGTTAAATTTTGATATAAAAATACAGCATATTACATGATTTTTATATTAATATTGTATAAATTAGTGATACTCTTTAAATAATTTAAATTCTTTGGAGTGGAAACACATTAATCACTGATGAAAATTGAAACCAGTCTTGAAAAAGAGTGATTCAATTTTCAATCTTTAAGATTGAGATTTCACTCCTTACAGCAAGATCCATTCGAAAAGTTTTAGAGATTACATTTAAGAAAATGAACTTGGCTTATATTTCAGTCAACAGCCTAAATTCGATTACGTTTTCAGCTGAACGTAGAAATGCATACGGCAAAAATTATGACTTTTCTCACATCCCAGCCGTTTACACGTATAATGAGAAGTTTTGGAAAGTCTGGCAGGGCGCGAGGTTCCCGGTAAAACGCCTTTCGGGTGCGTCTCGTCACGGTAATATGGTAGATTAGTCACAGTCTAATGATGAAAATAAGAGGCGACGCTCGCGGTAGTGCGATTTGGCCGCGACGGACAGGCTAAACGATAATCGCCGCCATAAAATATCGAGATTCTTCACGCGCGTACACGCCATACCATTAAGGCTATTCCTAGAGCCGCGTTGGCGAAACAAGTAATAAGCGGCTTCGACAAACGACAACGACAGTAGCCAGTTTCCCGGGGCTGCGGTCCCGAAAAGCCGCACACGGCACGCTTTCCTACATAATCGTAAATTCTCCACAAAGTCGTTAATGTTTGTGCAGCGAAACAGGTTTGTTAGGAATCTCTTTCGAACGTCGGGACAACAAGACAGAGTCTCGGGAATCTTCCGGCTCATGTACGTTCTTCCCGCATGTCTCTCTCTCTCTCTCTCTCTCTCTCTAATTATACACGTACCCAATAAATTTATGTTATATCGCGTTATAGTTATCCTGCTTCCACTTTCAACATCATTAGCGCGAAATATTGGTGCGCTTGCCGCGTCTTACAAAATCATACCGATGATACCAGGTTATTATACTGTACACACGTATAATCGAGATCACACCCGCCAAACGTATCTCACTCAATATCTTTTTTTTTCCTGTCGTCATTCTTTAGGGTGTGTCCTCTGACCCGAACTTTGTGGCATCTATACGAGCACACCCCAGGACACACTGGCAGTCTTCTTGCGTGTATATAAATAGACGATACGAAAATATCACGGGCAGCAGCCAGGCGTTCTCCAACTGCAACTTACGGTGACAGAAAAGCACGAGGGATAGGGAGAGGAGAAAAACGAAACAATGCGTAGTGCGAGCAATTATATGCGACGAATGCGTGTCGTTGTGACATTCGAACGACACAACGACGACAACGGCGCAGTCACCGCATCTTGTTGTGGAAAAGGCCGCGCGCCTTCGGTTTGGATGCGAGAGACCGTGGATGAAAGAGAAAAAGGACAAGTACAAAGGCGGTGACTTGGCGCCAGCATTCTCTCAATCGAGATAACATTCTGATGCAGCTTCGAAGAGTAATTTTCACTACTCTACCGACGCAATACGACATTGATCCCACGAGAAAGATGTTTATTTGCCTTTCTTGCGTGTTTTAACAGGAACAAAAAAATCGACAACTTGATTCTTTCGTGTGGGAAATACCGAATACAATGGACGGTGTGCTGTAAAGATTAGCCGTAAGAATAGTTTAATGGAATGACGTGACTAGCTCATACATTCGTTACACGAAATAATTAGTGTTATTTATGATATGGAATTCATAAATAGTTTCTTATTTGATAATTTTAATAATTATATGAGTTTATGATTTTAAACATCGATGAATTGAATGTAAAAATTAATAAAAAGGATGTAGAAATCAATAGGAAGAAACATTCTTGTGAAATAATTTCTTAGAAACTTAATTTTACGTTTTAAGAGCTGAAACGTATCATATTAAATTTATTTTACAAACAATATACCGTTTCTCTGTTGTGAGTGGTAGTTTATCTATCGTGAGTTTGCAACAACAATAATTTCCTCGATGGTTGTAATTGCTTATTCTACATACGCTTGATGAAGACTTCCGGCTATATCGCTCTGCTTCATAGTTGTACGATTCTAGATTGCGTAAACTATACGCGAATATCTCGACGCAAATATCGTGACGCTGGTGTGAGGTAACTGAGGACTGTTCACATGAAGCACCGATGTAGCAGCATGTCGATAGACCATATATCCCTTATGTTTACGAATCACGCAATCTTTCTCTCGGTTCGATGCTTGTCAAAAGTGATCTGAGGTATTTGGGTGGAATGATCGACGATAGTACAGGTGCTACCAGTGTTCATTAGCACTTTTGCCGATGTAACAAACCGCAATTAACGGCGAAAGTCATGTTATTCGGAATATGACGTAACTGATGTCACGCGATTTGGAAGCTGTGCGTGTCGACTGCGAGAAATGCGCGACTACACCTGCGACAGTAAATAAGATGCTTATATACATGTGTAAGTGCAAGTGCCTGGTGTTCAAGAAATTTAATTTTATCAATATCATTAAATTTACAGAATTATTTGCTTTTAACAATGATTTTACTCAGGCTAGGTGGTATTATAAAATTTTACTCTTCAAAATTTTCTTATATTAAATTTTTTTGTAAATAAATTTTTTTAATTGGATTCCAAAATTTTAAATAGTCCTATAAATTTTTAAAAGTCAAAATCTAATTGCGTGAAGCAGATATTATGTAATTTGAATTTATATATACGTATATAATTTTTTTTATTCATTATGCCGAAAAATTAAAGGAATCATAAAAATGGGGTTCTTTAAAAATAGGTAAATTTTCAAGAGAGTGTAACTTCGTAAAAAATGAGATGATTCAAGAAGCATTTTAAAGCTTAATAGTAATGAGATGATGGCTGAGACTACGTCAGTCTTTATATGTCTGAACTTAATCAATGAGTTACCTAGATTTAAAAAGTTCCTCTGTGACTTTTGCTAAGTATTACGAATTACGAAATTTTTCTGTATATCCGGAATGCGGGATTTGAAGATTTGAACTTACAACCTGTCGATTATTAGTTCGTCACAACGCTTCTTACAACGTCCCATTTTATCTTTACTTTTCAAATACTTTAAATAACGATCCAACTGATTTTTTATAAATACAAATGAATATCTGTCAAATCTTACAATTTTTTAGAAACTTTGTAAAATTCTATAACATAAATTACAAATCGCACATAATTACAGTAATTTACAACTTTCGAAATAGTGACTCTTCATTTTATATAATTTATGTATTCTTTATTAATTGTTGTGCGGATTTTTTTACCAAGTTCATTCAACATTGAAGCAAAAAGCATTCTTTTGACTTTAATTGTTCACAAAATACAAACGGAATTGTTCGGTATTTATTAAAAAACGAATATAAATTTATTATCTATATTTTTATACTTTGCAATAAGCTTACTTTTGCCGACTCTTATACTAATAATTATGCTATGCGATTTGTCTGGTAATCGCAAATGCGATTGTGAAGTTACAGATACTCACAGCCATCGAGACAAACATTTGTGCATTCGTTCTGAGTTGGCATGATGACAGCAATGGCGGACTAGTGTAAAACTAACCACCACAGCGTCTTTCATGTGCATTAGTCTTGTAAGCATTCTTAAACATATCCTTTAGAGCCATTGCGTAATATTGTACAATCGATTCTGTAATCAATACAATACATTTTTTAAACGCTTATAGTACCTTATCTGTTATTATTTGAACTAATTACTTTTCTAATTAATGCAGTTCTTTTAAATATAAAATCTATAAGGAAAAGAATATTGTGATAACTACTGTAATTGTTTATTGGGATTGTATGTTATACACTTGAAATGCCATTGTAATTAAATTAAGATTTTAAATCGTTAAATGATGTAGCGCATTTAACGGTGCATAAATTATTAGTAATATGATACTACATTATACAATCATTTTTTAGAGAGAGAGAGAGAGAGAGAGAGAGAGAGAGAGAGAGAGAGAGAGAAAAGTTATGTTTATAAGACATTATTAAAACATAACGTACTATAAACGGACCTCGGGGATTCCTAGGAAGATTATATAGGTCAAAAGAAAATACTAAGAAAGCGAGCGCGAAGAAAGAAGAGAATCTCAAACAAATGAATGTACTTAATTCACGTTAGATACGCTTCTCAGACGTGTCTTGCAATAGAAAAAGATTGTAGCCTCGAGCAACTTGGTTAGAAATGTTTGTGTACCTTCAAGGAATTGTCATTTGTTATATTAATTTCTTAATTAATAATGGTGATAACTTTTTTATTTCATTTATATAGATTTTTATCTCTTTTTATCTTATAAAAGATAGAAAGGTTTGGTTAAAATAAAATTGAATGAACTTTTAAAAATGAATGAAGCGGTTTCTATTTCCAATAAAAATTATTTATGTATGATTAAATTAAAGTACATAAAGATATTTATTATTTTTTACGATTCAATCGTGCATTAAATAATTAGGGCCAATTCATGAGAATTTTGGCATCACACAGTAAATGATGGAAAATCAGACGACAAGGGTAGAAGTTATTGACGTTTCGTCCAAATAATTTGACGATTGACTAGTTTTGAGGAGTATGAAAACATTTCAAAAATTTCAAGCACGCGCAATCAATCGAAAATAAACAGGATTCTTTGTCGACTATTACATGCCGTAATGCTCGATGAATACGAATGTACTTGCAAACATGAATGTATGATTAGCAAAAGAATTGAAATTAATGACAAAATATTGAAAAGTGTGAATATATAAGTATATATGTATGTATATTATGTCAAATATTATGTTAACGAAGTATAGCTGAGTTATTTGAAATGTATTCACAAACAGACATACATAGCGTTGAACAAAAAAATACTCATGAGAGAGATTTATAAAATTGACTTGGATTAATAAATTAATATGTAATACATTGCAATTTTTAAGTTTTAATTATTTTATTTAATTTTCAAATTTTTTGAGAGACTTATTGCAATATTAGTCTTTCTTATGTGGCAACTATATTAATTACATTAATTATATATATATATATATATATATATATATATATAGTATGTAATTAAAATACGGTAACAAACTTCGAGACCGAATTATCCACAAAACATGAAAAAAAATTCATCCTTTGACTATATGTGCGCAAATCTACTCTCTAAATCTTTTGGAATGAAATCTTATTCCAGAAGACTCTCTGAAAATTGAGTCAGTTTTGGAAAAAAGAGTGAAAAAATTTTCACTCTTGAACAAGAGCAAATATTCATTTTTTAAGAGTGAGTTTTCATTCTTTTGGAGTGAAAGTTACTTTAAAAAATGAAATCATAAAAAAAAAGTAAGATTTGTTATTCCTTTGGAGTGAATCTTACTTTAAAAGAGTGAAAATCTGCCATTCTTGTTCAAGAGTAAAAAGTTTTCACTCTTTTTTTCAAGATTAACTCAATTTTCACTCCAAAAGATTTACAGAACACTGTTACTGGGATACAGCTCAAAATGTTTAAGTATTATGCTTGTTAGCTGCTGATCTAAATCCTCTAATATTTTTATCTGTGGAAACACTTAAAATGTGACATTATTCGCAATTGTTCCGGAAAAGAGTGTGACAGTCCATGATGGCATGTCCAAGTGTGTATTGAATTAAATGGGAGACACTTCGAACATTTATTACAATTAAAAATTAAAAATAAATTACATTAAATAATAAATATTACTTTTTTATTTTCCGCTATTAATAAACATTTTGAGCTGTATTTCAATAACAGTGAATTTGCCGACATATAAACTTTTTTTCATGTTTAATGTGAGGAGTTCGGCCCTGAAATTAATTACCTCATTTTAATTACACCCTGTATAAATAATTTTTTAATTAAAGAAATTTGAATATCAAAAAGTCTTATGATGTATTTATTTAATTATTTATATTTGTTACAACTTTACATTTGGTGCAACTGAAAGAACTGCTTATTTGAGAAAAAATTAATTCTTTAGCGATGAAACGATGCCATGGACTTAAGCACAATAAGCTAGTTCTTAGTTTATCATCAATTAACGGCTATTCAATCCTCTTTATTATGTCTCCTGTCACTTTGTTTTTTTCAAAAAAAAAAAGGTGATAAGAAATTCGAATAATACACGTAAATTGGGAAAGTACGTTACTTTCACAGCTTTTGTTATTCTAAAATTTCCTTTCGAGTATTAATCTTCTTTTCAACACTTCCTTGGTCGAAAATACGTTTCATCGTTAAAACGAAAGAAAATTTGACATTGACGAAGATAATGACGACAGGCTGCGTGTATATGTTGGCAACGGCCACCAACTGATTTGATGCGTACTTAATATTTGTTCATAAATCAAAATTTAACCGCTGCCCTAAGTTTTTCAGGATTGAGAGGTATGGCTTAACAGTTCTGAATTATTTCGTTACGCACATCAGTAATTATAAATCCGTATTTTTATTAACAAAGTTTAAATATTTTAATCAAAATTATATTTATATTATAAAATTAACTAAAAGGAAGAGTATAAAACCATAGCACAAGATATTCTTTGTGATATTTAATATGTAATTAAGTTTATAAATAATTTACAGAGTGACTCTTTAATTATTTATAAACTTAATTACATATATTAAATATCACAAAGAATGTGTTGTGATTTTATGCTCTTCCTAAAAAACCAGATTTGTTATAATTATATATATTTATATTCTTTAAAGTAATTGATATTTATATTTTTTAACATAATTGATATATAAACAATAGAATTAAAACTAAGGGTAATTAGCGCGTTGTAATTATAAAATATAATATATATTTAAAGTTTCGTTACATACACAACCGAAAATATAATCGAAAATTTTAGCTAGTTTTTATTTGATATTTATCTTATCAATGTAACTTTTCTTTTCTTGTAAATAGCAATATTTAAAATAATTAAAATTTTATGTTCGATATATTTATCTTTATTAATTAACCAATCTCTTTGTGCGCAATACGTTCAAAGTGATTTTTGGCAATGCGCCACTTGTCATCACATGTTGCAGTCACTGAATAAACTGCTACAACCGAAACCTTTCTCCCTAAAATTACAAAACAGTGGAAGAAAACATATTCCATGATACAAATACTGCTTAAAAATTTAAAGTGTCTTATATGTAATCTTATTCTGAACACAACATGAGATGCCTGAAGAATTATAATGGAAATGTAAGGTATATAGTATCAAACTAAATTATTCAGTTAATAAAAGAAAAAGACATATATATGATACATAGATTTATTAGTTTTTTTCATGACTGTGATGTCAGATCTGATATATAATTATCTACCTATTTTATTAATAATATGACTATGTATAATGGATTTCATGGGTAATCGGAATGGGACATCACTCATCATAAGAATAATGTGACAATGAATTTTCTCATTATAATAAGATTGTTATATATGAGTAATTAGGAGAATTATATTGCGGCAATATTTGAAAAAGTATTCGATCAAAATATTTCTATTCTCGCTAATTATTATATTATATAAATTATTATATATAAATATATTCGGATAATATTCAAAATAAAAGCTTCTGATTCTTTTAAAAAAGTGAAAAATTTTGATCGAAATATAACCACATAGATTTTCATGCTGTAATCAGGGAAGACTAGTAGTATTGATTATTACAATAGTAACAATAGATTAATTATACAGATGAGATCCATAATAGTTCAAAAAATAAAAAATTTATCGTGTTTCTAATCAGAATTCTAAACTATTTTGTGAGAGAAAAAGAGAGAGAGAGAGAGAAATTATTATGGTTATTATAATATTCGTTGACACAAGTATTAATAATAGTTACTAATGATAATATTATATGTAATATATGTAATAATAATAGTGACAGAGATAATAGTAATATTTTAATGAGAATGATAATTCAATAAATGGAATATTAATTAATATATATATTAAACATATGATAAATAATTTTAATTAAGCAACGAGTTAATTCGATTCTTAAGTGATACTTGATGATACTTGAATGTAACAAGTTTACACTCCTAAGTAATAGAAATGTATTGTATTTACTGTACCTATATTTGTTTTCTATTCTATATTCGCATTTGAATATTACTTACCGAATATTTACACTACTCACTTATTTACGTGTTTGGCCGAAGAGTCTTCACGTACTGGCGGAACACGAAAAATGATTAACGCAGTCGACGAGCATCAATGTATGATTATTTCTTCCTGCTCTCACTCGCACTGTCGTTGTGTCGCCATATTTCTACCGGCAGTAAAACCGGCAGCAGTAAAGTACGGTGTGTTAACGTCAAGTTTACGTTATACTAGCCTTTCCGCACGAGAAATGAGAGACGCAGGAAAAGGCTGCGACGACCTCGTAACTCTATCAAGAACCGGCAACTTGGCAAGCGTTCATAGGGTTACTTTGGTGCTGAGCGCCAATATATACTTTGTGCGACGGTGGGCGTAACCACTTTTTTATAGCCCATGTCCCAAGTACAGATCCTTGGTTCCTCGTTGATCCCAACGTTCCCGGCTCTGGATATTCGAGACGGCGTGTCAATCTGCGTGACATTCAGAAATTTTCGTGCGGTTGAGCAACTTCATAAAAGTTTTCAGCGGTTATCATGATCACACGGCGAATAAAGTAACTCGATAATCGTCGCCTCTCCTTCGTAAGTCTTTCTTCAAGTCCGAGTACTTACAGGCTGATTCAGAGTATGCACGATGTGATAAAGGAATATGCTCCGAATGTTAAAAAATATGTTCTGAGCGAACTAGGAATGTATTTAATCTATTATAGGAACAATAATATCAAATCACAGTAATTTGCAATGCTGTCGATATCTTAAAATGTATGTAGCAATCAAAATCAATGAGCAACTTGCAAACGATTTTTGAATTTAGGAGGATAGATATTTTATTAATTAAATATTTGATTTCTTTTATTTTTATTTAAATTTCGCAAGATTAATATACCTAATTAAAATACGACATAAATATATTATACATTGCTATGCATTCTTATATACTAAAAATTTACTTAAAAAATTTTTTTAACCGTTCATTAAATCATTAATCAAACTAAGTTGATTATAAATCAATACGATGTTACGTGAATTTAAACTTATATAAGTATATACGAATATATCTTTATATATAACGTAACGTACAATAAAAAAATCTCAGTATTACAATTTCAATCAACTAATCTGTATATTTAAAACGATGAAATTAATCGTATCGTATTAATCGTGTTTTCTATTACTTGACATACAGACTACTTGTGTATGTATAGATATATGTTTATTTAACCTCGACCAATTCATCATTGTTATTCATCCTTTATTTATGCGAAATATGCTGGCTGCCTCGTCTGTATTGCGAAAGTATAATATACGCTTCGGACAGCGCCAAAAATAATAATCGCGGCGCGGGTGTCATCGCTTGCACAATTTTGAAAATAAAGTGCTCAAAGTGACACCACAAACTGGCCAACTTTGCTGAGCAAACAAGGTGCAGAGGTCGGCCGCGTATTACAGATGCGCGCATCTTTCCGTGCAAATGCTCGTCTTATTGCTAATACCCCATGAAACGGAACCAGCGGCGTACGAATTAAAGAGTGAAATATGTTAATGGAGTTCTCCTCTGAAGAGAGAACGAGCACGGATGGTATCTTGATTAAGGTGTCTGGCGGACGTTAGTCATTCCGGCCATCCGCTCTCCACCCGGCAGGACCGCGAAAATCTAATTTTCGCTACCAGAAACTGAAAAACCTGGGCGCTTCCACCTTCCACCCAGCGACTTTCAGCCTTCTGTTCCTGTTTTCGTGGGCGCGTCCTACGTACTCAATCTTTCACGCTTCGACGAAGACACGTGCGTCCCGCTTGCTTTCGCACCGATTGCAAAAAATGTCTATGCCTCCATTCGTAATTGAATAGTTAATATAGCGAGCTATTTTGTAGCGATCACACGATTGGTCGTTAGGTGCTCGTTATACATTCGATACACAGAATGTAACACAGGTGATATCATTAACACAGTTTTTCTCCGAAATATCACACATCATACGTGGACGGAATATTTCGAGTTATGTAAAATTAATTACGAGAGAATAAAAGAATTTAATATTAGTTATATATCAATTTAACGACAGATCGTGCTCCTGTCGTTTTAATGTCTCATACATTCAGCTTTCACTTTTCGCGCACGCGATAATAATATTGGAAAATAGTGAAAAATTCCGGCGGCATTTTAATTAAACCACGCTGCCGAATACCGCACTTCTACGGCCGGCTCTCTGTTTTATATCGCGCGAAGGATTTGATTTAATTCGCGTGAGATAATTTAGGCGACGGTCGCCGTAATTAAGAGTCTATTGCATGCTAATTGAAGATACATTAGAAATACGTACGATTAACGTTTGCTGATTGAACAGACGTTCCTACAGTCGCACGGTAGCAGAGGCTCTGTGTAGAGGCAGAGTGCAAAATACATGATATATAACGCATCTCGAATACAGACAGCTGCGACAGCAATGCTAGAAACTGAGGAAACTGTACGGCTTCTTACGATGTCCGCGTTCGTAAATATTTCTCTTATTGCGGAAAATAAAAACTCGGCGTGTATAATTTTTTGATTTAAATCGATAGCTGGCCTATTCCAGTACCTAATCTACGCCAATCTGCTCTTCCATGCCACATGCTGGAACGTTTTATTACGATTGTTTGTACCGCGAAATAGCGCTTGTTGATTGCTTGTTAATTGGAAATATGTCGGAAGGCTATTCACGTTCAAGAGGCCAGAGGGCAAACGTATCTCAGACTCTTTAACGCCGGCAACCGCGAAGAGGCAAACGAAGCAGTTCGGAATAATATTATTGATGTTCAAGAATCTTCTCTCCACGAAATAATATTATTGATGCTTAAGAATCTCCATCCTGGTCTTCGCATCAATAAGCTTTCTCCTCTCGAAGTGCGAGACGCTGTACGTTTAAAGGTAAGGTAAATTTAAAGGTGAAATAACCGCAAGAATCATTTACGAATAATATGCGCGCTCGTTTAATTGTGCGTAAACTAAATGAAATAACCGCACGAGCAAATAATCGAGCGATTAACGTGCGTGTAATTATAGACATATTTCTTGTTCATCACTTTTTTATCAACAAGTACAACTATTCGTAAGCAAATGCTTTTTTCGATATCAAAGAAAGTTCAATATAATTTATCACGTGATAATTTACGTTTTTATGTTTTCATTTTTAATTCACGATTGATGTATATCAATAAGATACGCATACATAAATGTAATATTTATAATAATATTTTATAAAAATTGCCATGGGCTTTTTATTTTCATTATACATGTATATAGTCGCAGAACTCTTTTGCAAGAGCATTCTTTTCTTTTTCAAATGCGCGATCTGACTTTTAAATTAATCTCACTGCTGTGTTTTATCGTTTATAGGCATGTTATGCCTGTATTGCGTATTCGCAAGCCATCATTTTTATGCGAAAATGCACAAGTCTGCTACTAATAAGCGTACCTTGGACTTCCATCGAAAATACGATTCTTGCCGTAAAGAGTTAGAGACAGCTGCTGGCTTTTTATTGATCGTTAAAAATCTTTGCCCGTATCTTACATTGATCGAGGGATCAGTAATAATTTGTCAATGTATCGATAAAGGAAATCGACAAATTCCTAGTTTAAAGATCTCCATACTGATTCGATAATCGTGCGATGTAGAAAATATTCTATCACCATTATCATCGGAATGCCAGAAATTTGAAGGGTCGTAAAATCCACTCTCGTATCGAAATAAAAATCCTGTGTTTTGTGTGTGTGTGTGTGTGTGTGTTTATGAGAATCCTATTAGCATCCGATTCCATGGACGCATCTTCCGGCTGCCGATCGAAGATATCGCGTAAAGTCGTTTGATGGCTCAGCCACTCGCTATAAAACAGTACGTTCTCAAACCAGGCGTATAAAATAAATCGCAGAACATCTCTTTTTTACGGCGTGATAATTTTTGAATCCGATGCGATATCGGTTGCGCGAAACGCACAACTTTCGTAATCCACCGCGAAATTCAAAAGTTCCATCAAAGAAAGTACATTAGCTTAACCCGTTTGTTATTATAAAATTCGGAATGGCTTGTAATAATTTTGCTACTTAACAAATATATTACAATATTTTATGAATATTATTTTGTCTTGTCTGTTTCATGTATGAATAATAAAATCAAATTTGACAATTGTTGTGAATGATTTCTTTTAGTGATACATTATGTTAATCTTATGCTAATTTATCTATTATTATACATATAATAGAATGAACATTACAGTTATACACTATGATACTAGTGCTTGAAAGAATTTTTTCTATTTGATTATTATATAATTCAGTCTGTGCACGCAAGAATTACGTATATTCCTTATGATTAGAAATTTTAACAAAAGAGTAGATATATATTTGCAAATCAGCAGTTTCAACTCTCAATTCTGTATTAAGAATTTAGAAAACGTTTACTGCTGTAAAGATTGTATACACAACGGCATTCATACATGATAAATCGTCTTGTATACAAAAGAGATTATGATACTCTGAGAGTGTGGTGATTTTTCATAAGGAGGGTTTGCAGCCACCCTTTACAGCTACCACATCGGATATGAGCAAAGTTTCGTTCAAGTTCAAGCGTGAAGAACTTTTCAAGTTTCTTTGCTACCTCCTTCCTCTGACCGTCCAACAGAGGGATTTTAAGATTATAAGTTTCGGACTCGGCAGATTTTAATTCAAGAGTGTAATAAATATCTTCGTAACTAAATTGTGAGGGTGTTAATCGTTTCTGTCATAACTATAGTTTGCGCAGCCCTCACCAAATAAATCAGTTGTATAGTTTTAGGTAAGTAGTTACAAACACGAAGGTAAAGTGAAAAGAAATTATGATAAAAACGTAAAATTAAATTGGGAGACTACGTTAAACAATATCTCGTTTAATAAAAAGATAGAAATTTAATAAAATTTATTGTGAAGGAATTTTACATGAAGAAATAATAGAACAGAGGCTCTTTATGCGGAGTACATACATTAAAGATGTAAACGATTTCGATAAAATTTGCAATATTCCTGACAGCATGATTTCTATTCGACTTCCTAGGTATATTCCGTAAACGCGCCACGCTATTTCATCGAGTATATTAGATTCGATAAAGATAATACAATCACGTGTGTGAACATAGTAGACTAACGGATTAGCAGACAAATTGCTAATTTATTCTCCGAACACGCTCCGTGCTTGAAGACGTGGACGGCGGCGGACACGTGATCTCAAAAGGTTACGGCAACGCAAGCT